CAATGGTATGCTTGAATACCTTTTTATAATATAATTATTTTTTAATATCTTTACAGCAAATTGTAAGATAGTAGTGTAAATATAGGTTAGAAAAATTATTTTTTAGTTTGAAAACTTATTTTTTCTTTCAGAAACTTATTTCATTTATTGTAAAAGTGGATCATAACCTGCAAACTGATATAGAAAAGATATATAATAAATTTATTATACATTAATAGTATAATAATATATAATATAATAATAATAATAATATAATATAATAAATATATAAAAAATATAAATATTTATAATTTTCCACTCATCCGGAATGAATGATGATCATGCATAAATGTCAATACTATAATTTACTTTTATATTTATATTTATTCTCGATAAATTAAATTGTTAATATTGTTGATTAATAAATGTATTTTTTCAGATATTTTAATATTAACGATTATTGATAATATTAACATTTTCGATGCCAAAATAATTTACACGAAGATGAATAATTTGTCTCATTCGCTATTCTTGTTTGCTATTACTAAGAAAATATAGGAACTGTTCTGTATGTACAAGATCAAGATATTGGAACAACATTGATAAATTTAACCATGATGTTAGGTACCGTATTAACCCGTATCTGTCTTCCGATAAGTTTATAAATGTTCGACTGATTCACATTTCAAATTTTTTATTGGTTAAATATTTTTGTAAAATTATATTCTCCAACTTTGTTTAGAATAATGATGGACGATAGCGAACCATTGTGCTCTCTAGTAAAGAACATCATGAATCTCGCACTTCGAGCAGTCGATAATACAGATCGCTGTACATAAATATTTCAGCAAGAACATTCAAAAGTTTTAACTTCAAATCTTTTGTTATTTATTCGTATTTTATGCGATTTATGTGAGTATTTATTTTTTAATAATTAGTGCTTTATAAATCAATCGTTTATTTAGTTTATATCGTTTATTAATTGTAATAATTAATTCCTGTAATAAACAAATTAATTATAACATTATAATGTTATACATCGGGGTTAATACATCTATCATAATAAAACATTTCAAATAAATATATATTTGTCGTACTTAATATTAATTTCTTATATTATTTTAAATTCGTCCAAATTGCCTTTGATAAATTTAAACCACGTTACGTAATGTACCGATTGGACAGTTTCAAGGTTAAAAATCCATATATGGAATAAATTTGATTCGCATTTAATTACATTGACAATCCTAAAAATATATCATTACATTATTATAATTAATTTTTATACTAAGAACAATTAATTGCTTTTTCTCAGAAAATTAAAAGAAAGATATATACTATAAACAATTTTTAACACATTTACCTTCAAATTATTCTTACACATTGTTTCAGATACCTTGTTTTGGAACAAATTAAATCATTATTAAACCCTCGTCTTTCAATATAATTCTTTTAACTCCAAGAAAGAAATAACAAAAAGAAATCACGTTTAATCGTCGTACATCCAAAATCACTGAATCCAGTATCAGAATCCAGCTACGTTTCCTGCACGTTTCGTCAATTGAACACTCCCTGGGATTACCTGGCGGAAGCCATTCATGTGACGTAGTTACCAACAGTGGTCATACCAAAGGGTGGAGACATTGATTTTTTGCGAACAAAAACGATATATTCGTGTTGGTTTGAAAATATTTCCAGCAAATGTTTTCCCAGGAAAATGATATATTTCGTTGCAGGGTATTTAGACATCAGTCGTCCCGATGAGTTTGCTCTGCGCCGTCCGTTCCAACCGTCCAGTGGACAGGGTTAGGTTAGGAAATGGCAGAAGGCGCGTTTTCCCCGAATCAAAGTTCATCGAGGCCGCATTCTTCCGCTTTATCTGCCGATGCACGGAGTTCCTGCTATGCCGTGGACAAAATTGTCGCGAGTCTCGCGTGCGTTCACGGTCAGTGACGTCTCCCTTCTATGTATGCTCCCTCGTCTCGTCCTGGACGAAGTCCATCACGTGACCTTGCTGGTATACCTCGTGTTTGCTTTAAGTCGCGAACAAACACGAGGAAGGCTAGCATCATTCGATAAAAACAGCCCGTAGTTAACAATGTCCATCGTTCTCTACCTCGACAATACATCGGCTTAGTCGATAAGATCTCGAGTATCAACATGATGAAATTGTAAATCGTCGCGTCGATATCATTGACTTGATGCAATACTGCCGAGTCAATAGTGCTTCCATTTAGAAGAATTTCTTTTATGATTATGTCCTTAGACACGCAGCCCCCTCTTGGTAACATTGTTTGTCGATGGTTCTTCAGCACAATGAGGCCTCGCATTGTGGATTTCACTGTGTAGCTTCTTTGATACGTAGGAGTACATAAAATACATAAAAGTCTGTAAGCCAAAGAAGTCTGTATTAAAAGTTTGGTGAAAATTGTATATTTTATAGCATTTATACTTCTATTTATATTTCTCGAGTTTAATTTACCTTTTAGAATAATTAATAGTAAATACAATTGTTGCCGCAATCCTTTTGTTAATAATAATGGTTTCTGTTATTCGTATTCTACGTAATACATGTATTAATATTAATTAAACAATTATTTTCATAGACTAAACACGGAGATAAAATTTTGACATTGTAAAATGAAAATTAAATAATCCGTTCTATCGCATATAAATCAAATGCGATATTTCGTGTAAGAATCTTTTACTTTCGGTCACGCTAAGTCTATTTTTTCTTTACCCATAATTCCTGTTCATCAGATCAGGCTGATGCTATTACTCCTACAAAGCGTATCCAATCCCTGCCGCGTTTCATTCAAAATTGCTGAACCGAACTGTCCTGGAAAAAAAAAGAAAATCAACAAAGCGGTAGCATGCTCGCAGTGTCGGATTATTTTCAGACCGATTGTCAGGAATATTCTATAAAATTAAAATCATTGAAAACAATCTGGCAGCGACGCAAAGGGAGCATATGAAAGGATCGAAGCTCGCGAATGGAAGGGCGGAAGTGCAAACGGGGCTTAATGCAGCATCAGCATCCGACACGGTGTACTGCGCTGCGAATCTGTCTCTCTCTCTCCATTAAGTCGCCTCCCTCCTTTTAATAAAAATATTTCTCTCTCTCTGTCCCACCACTCCCTCTTCGTGCACGGCCCTCTCACTTCCACTTTGACCTCTCGGTCCTCTCTATCGCGCGAACGCTCGGGGATATAGGGTGAGTACGATTTCGGCCCCCTTCGTGGAGCCACTTAACGAGGAGGTGCTCGTTTATCGAAAACTAGTTCCTCGTCGGGGACACGGGTAAATCTCTCGCCCAGAAAATACCAGAGCTCCTCTCTTTTTTTTTTCCTTCCACATAACCACTCTGCACGGAAAAGCGCCTAAATATTGCATAAATTTAAACGATGCAAAATTATCGATGCAAACCGTTATTCCGATATGCAGAATTGACAAAAGTGTTCGTTTAACGTTTGAAATAGTTGCTCGCGACCTTGTGCTAATTTGTCACTCGCATGTGAGATGTTAAGAAACTTGCGAGAACCTCGTTATCGGAAATTACGATTTAAAACGACAGAAGAAAGGGTTGTTGATAACACGCGGCTTAATCGGCAGGATTTTTCTTTGTTTTAATGCCGGTAAAATCGTTGATACCATTGTAATCGAAGTTACCTTCGGTACACTCTGTATACCCGTATATACACACAGGTTATCCCATTCTCTTCCTCTGCGTCTGTCCTCGTTCGTTGTACCTTCGGTCTCTTTCCATGGTCGGTGCTCCGGCCGCGAGCTGGCTATCTCGGGGTGAGGGGTAAGAACGCGATAGTGCTGGCTCCGTGCATCCTGTCGCCCCGTGTTAGACTCGCGTCAAATGTAACAAAATATTTGCAGATAAATTTTATTATACGATAAATAACTTGATATTAATTTAAAAACTAAACCATTACGAAATATAACTTGATCGTTTTATTTGCTACATTTCGCTAATTTAATCGTTTAATATGGAAAGCAAGATATTCATATCTGAAAAATAATTTCTCGAAAGTGTATTACGTAAATTTTTTTGTTAGATTGTTGCAGAAATTTCGTGAAATCTGTAGTAGAAATTAATAAAAACAGTTAGATGCAATTTTTCGATGCGATTAATTACGAACGTAAGTAAAAATTATAATTTGCGACTAATTAATTGATCGAGTATAAAAATAGTATTTCACTGTCATATTACTTCTCTCGCAAAGAATTTAGAAGACCGAATCTCACGTTGAAAATGTGGAAACACACTTTACTTTATAAATAACTTGCGACGCGTTTATCCACACACACAGTTGCAAAGCATAAAATTACAATGTCTAGTCCGCCGCCAGAATTACTTAAAAAATTTGAGCATAAACCTTAACTCGATTGCTCAAGGATCACACGAATAGAAATACAACGCATTAAACAATACCAAACACAAACTACGATATCTTCCCCAAAATATTTCTAACCTAACCCAAAAAATTAATTCCGATAAATCAAAGAAGATTCAAAATTTATTATTAACCTGTACTATTATAACAATGGAACGTCGCAACGTCGAGTCGAGTGATACATGTATGTAACTTCTGCCAGTAAATTTCCTCTAAATTTAAAATTTCAATCAGTTTTCGTACACCAAAGAAGCCGACATAGTCGAAAATAGCCAACGTTAGAGTTATAAGATCCGTTGCGACATTAGGAGTATAAGATCTCCGCGAAAGTGACCAAACAAATTATTTCCATTGAAACTTGCGATCGTTTCTACGTTCAAATTTTATTTCGCGTTTGACCAAGTCGAAATGTGTTGTTAGTCGCAAAGTTGATCGAGAAAAATAGGAAAGCGGATAAAAATAATAATTTTTAGCGAAGAGAGTGAGAGAAGAGGAGCTAGAGAAGCAAGCCTCGGGCGCCACGGCTAGATTCGGCCCTGGCTCGCGATTCCATGGAGCGGGGGCGGCGGCGACGAAGTGGAAGGCAACGAGGAGGTACCGACAGTAGCTCCCAGACAGTGACTCCGCGCGTAACGACATGTAACCGGTGGATAGATCTTCAGAGTGTTATGTCATCGATGACAATTGTTGGACAGGCACGAATTCGTGGCGGAGGATTCGTGTATGGCCAAGGATAGTGTGGTCGGAGCAACTCGGGCAGAAATCTCGCGGAAAAGGGGGAGAAGAGAGCGCGCTTGCTTGGAAACGGACCTTGAAGTCGCGAAGTCGGGACAGTGGAAAGGATTAAAGAATTTCGAGGAGAGAGATTTAGGGTGCGACAAGGCCGGCGCAACCACCGTGTAAGCAGCGAGAGAGAGAATAGCGCCGGTGGAGAGAGAGAAGCGAATGGTTCGAGAGAAGCTCGATGGGTCGAACATACTCAGTGCTGCCAGCCGTAAGCTCGACGGAGTCGACGCCGCAAGCTCGATGCAAATCGACGTTGTAGATAGCTCGATGAAAATCTAGCTAGCTGATCCTCTGTTCTCGCACTGTATCGCGGCTCGATAGCCGGGTGAACGTCGTGGACCTGCTGCATCGGTGATCAGACACCTTCGCGATCCCGGTGTTGTTATCCCGAACGGTGATAAACCGGTGAAACCGCGGACCTCTGTTTTTGCCCAGTGTCGACGAACTCGTCCGAGGTCCTCTTATCGCGGAGGTTAGGAAAGAGGAATAGGAGGAGGGAAAAAGGAATAAGGAGCCAAGCGGTGGACACCGGGGCAACGGAAACGTCGAGTAGGAAGAGCGTGGCCTATGTGTCCGGTGGATCTGGCTCGCGGAAGTGCTGGGTCAACAATGTCAATGCCCTTAAGATCGATCGTTGGTTGCTCGAAACTGACTGGTTTGTTAATGGACGGTGAGAAATTGACTTCAGGGTGAGTCGAAATTGGCCGGGGTGAGTCCCAGGCACCCATGATACGAGCTAATTACTTGGTAGATGGAGCTGTGTAGTTTAGAGGTATCACGGAGTACGCTTAACGACCAATCGGGCGATGTAACCGTGGCTAAGAAGACTGTCCCTCGTGAGTCATCTAAGGTAGAGATCTCGATGTATAGAAAATATTTTAAGTACCAGTTTTAGATACAACGTAGACCGGCCGGTTGAGAAGTTATTTAACGCGATTGGTAGAACAGGAACAGTTGCCAGAAGAAGTCGTCTCGGTGGACGGGTGGCAGAGTAATAACCGCTCGTTGGATGGAGTGATGAGCGGGGCCCCTGCACGGGGCACAGCGCCCCGTCGTCAAAGACGTCATCATCATCACCATCACCATCATCAAAAACATCAGAAGCAGCTTCGGGAAGAGCAGTCGGAGGAGCCGGAAGAAAAACGGCCGAAGGTGAATCCGATTTTTCTCTGGGCCTCGCAGAGAGAACAGAGGATCGTGGAGGTGAGATGCGAAGATTACGACAAGAGGAATCGTATCAAGCTGACGAAGACGGCGCAGGGATGGCGTTCAATACCGAGGACAGCGTCCAACATGTACTCGGCTGGCCTGGGTGTCACCTGCCAGAAGACCAGCAGCGCGAACTCTTCGAATTCGTCCGACACAAGCGAAGAAAAAGACACGGGCAAGCAGACAGGTCACCTCGCGTTGAATCTTCAACGTATCCCTGCGGAGGAGCTGGCAAACGGCCGGACCAACGGTCTGATCGGCAGAGACGGTGTTGGAAAGAAGAGAAGTTACGATGAGATTAGCAGGAGGAGCAAGCATCGGCGAGATTATGGTTTCCCTCTGGAAGAGATGCGCAATAACGCAAAGATGAAAACGAACTGGGACGAGGACCGAAGAAGAGTGCCATGCTCTGACGACGACGAGAACGACGACGATGACGATGATGAGGAAGAGGATGACGAGGATGAAGAGGAGAAGGAAGAGGAGGAAGACGACGACGAGGAGGAGGAGGAAGAGGAGGAGGAAGAGGAGGAAGAAGAGGAGGAGGAGGAAGAGGACGAAGAGGACGATGAGAATGAAAACGAGATGAAGGAAGAGAATAGGTTGGAGAAAGAGGTGGAAGGCGGCAACGGGAGAAACAACCTCGAAAGGCTGCAGAAAGATAAGTTGTTCCAACCGCGAGTGGTGCTGGAACAGCTACACTTTTCTCAATTGCCCGAGGGCGTTCATCAGAATGTCCTTCAGAGGCGGGGGAAAGACGAGAGGGGGCAGAACGAGGATGATGTTATCGCCGCTGAAGAGAAGCCAGCGGTAGATAATGAAAAAAGAAGGCACGTGAACAAGGCAGGCATTCAGGACATATTGAACATGATCGATGTCACGGCCTCGCCGGTTCTAGCTACCGATACACCTAGCGCCGATCTGCCCGTCGACTCGACGAAAACGTACGAGGTTCTCAGCGAGAACCTCCATAGTAAAGCTAGTGAGAGCAAAATCAAAGATTCTAACGCAACTGTACTCATGGAATTATCGAATAAGGTTAAGGAACATTCGAGGATAGACGTGATCTCCAGCTATCAGCGAGGGAACCTCGTTGGCAACCTCGTGAACGATACTTCCGATGATAAGATAGAGATACACGAGGAGAAAATCCTCGCCAACTACGACACGCAAAGCGAAGAAGAGAAGAAACCTCAGGTCAAGGACGACGTGATCATCGTCTCCATAAAGAATAGCAGTTCGGACTCGAAGTCTTGCAAGATCGCCGAAGCAGACGGTGGCATTGGAAATCGACCAAAGTGTAAATCGAATTCAAAGTGGCAAAACGTGGTGCCCGTCGTCGACGATACGCAGTTAGAAGCTGAAGAGGAGAGACCGGACGAACCTGGAGAACCGGTGAAAATGGACTATAACGATAGCTCGAAGATTCTAAACGCACTGAGGAATACGCCAGGTCTGTCGGTTTCCATCACCAGAACTCATACACCGGAGAGTACGAAGAACGTGGCGATGTCGTTGACTAGACCAGCGTCGAAGGCATCGTCTTCTAGCCGATCGCCTGATTCTCAAGCGGAATGCGTGGAGAGATTGCTAAAGAACGCGGATTCCGTAACGGAAACTCAAGGCACCGCGTCCCCAAAGAACCTTCCAGGTTTGTCGATTATAATCCCTAGTTATCGATACCGAAATTCCCAGTTAATCGCGAACCATTCGACCTCACCGAGCACGAAATCACGCGTCGAGTCTCCTGAGAGCACGGTGAATTTTCCCAAGAATGAGGCTTACGCGGACGAATCGAAGTTGGACAGGTTTCCCCACGAGGAGGACGAGGATGAGAGGGACATGGAGGAAGACGAGGACGACTGCGATTCGCAAGTGCTGGAGGATTTGAGGCGACAGAAAGCCGACTCGTTAGCCTACGAGTCCGACAGGGACTACTTCCACAGGCAAACTCTGGGAAACCCGGAGGATCGTAAGACTCCTCTGGAGAACACGAAAAATCAGGCTCACTGGATTAGCTCGAGCAGAAATAGCGAGGCCCAAGCGAAATGCAAGTATCAGGATGTAGAACATTTCGACGAGCAAGTCCTCGAGGAACTGAGAACTCGTGGCACCGTTGTATCGCCGCAGCCAAGTGGAATTCCATGTTCTCCGGCTTCCAGGAGGCCCTCTTCTGCGTACCTCGAGAGGTTACTACCTAGTCCTCCGTGTTCCGTGTCCTGTTCAGAGGACGCGAAGAACGATTTAACGTTGAAGGGTATCCTGTCGTCGCCGAATCAGCTGGAGGTGAGAGACTACGAGAAGCAGAAGGAGATCTCTAATCGCTGCGATCAGGTACCCAGTGATCATCTTCCTACCCGTGCCGATCACACGAAGGACGTTGAAAGGAGTAGCGCAAATAGGAAAGGAAACAGAAGCTTTCAAGAACGACTAAGCGTGCATAACCAGGAGATGAGGAACTCGGGCAGACCAATGTCCAGTGGTGATATCTATAGTACGTACTTCGTGACGGATCGTGCCACACCCAAGAGACCAATGTCTGCCGAGTGGTCGGTCGGTAGACACAAAAACCAATCGAGTTCCTATCAAAAGTCCTCTGGCAAGCTTCGAGTGCACGCTACGGACGAGTCTTGTGCCACGTCCAGTAGCACTGACAAGCTTCTGGATCCTGCTAGTCAGCTTAGAGAATTGATCGAGACGTCCGGACATCTGATTCCGGATCCCCTCCTGGTACCAGGGGACTGCTTGCCAGGTCTCGCGGCAGCGCCGGCCATTGAAATCCCCAAACTGTTGGCCTCGAGACCAGAACTCAGGCTACCAGAGGTACTCACCAGGCCGGATCCCGACAGAGATACCGATTTATTCGTGATATACCTGGCTCATCTTCAGTACTTCCTCGATCACGGCGAAGGTCCGGTCTCCAGGTCGCAACAGTCGCATCCAAGAATCAACAACGGCACTAACAAAGGGCCCGGTCACGCGAGCAACGGGACGAAACACGCGTTGCAAACGAGGCCCAAGCTCAGCTGCAAACCAATCGGCACGCTAATGCCCGCGCCGATCGATCTGTCCAGTAGCCGAAGATCCACCACTTATCTACCGTTGCTCAGCGTAAGGAACGGATTACTTAAGCAGGAACCGGAAGTCAGCTCCACAGCCAGCTCGCCCGATGAGTCGCAACTTTGGCATCCTCTATTCGGCAGGTAATTCTCCATTTTATCCTTCTTATTCGTCTACGCTTAAGGGACCTAGGCCTCCTAAGGGACCGTATCTCGAAATGGCCTTTTTCTCTCTTCGATGCTGATCAGACAAATGGCTTGATCGACGATTCGGAAAACACGGATAGTTAATAAGTCCAGTTAGGACTTTACTCGACACGGTGATTAGACATATAGAGTAGACGTAGAGCAATGCATAATTTAATCTAGTGTCGCAAGAATTCATTCACACGACTCGGTACCGACACGTAGGATAGGCTCGGTGGAAAAAGGCGGGGAAAAAATTGAAACGGAATTGCGTTACCGTGAAGTGTCGTTTATTTTATTCGACCTGAACGGGAAAGGAACTTCGCGCATCAGGGGGCATTAAGCTACGTCCCGAGCAACGAAACGGCATCTCGTCAGTTTTATTTTGTCAAACGCTTTGTCCGACAGGCCTCTGTGATAGTGCCCGCCTTTTGATCGATGCTAGTATGTAACGTAAGCGCATTGGAACATTTTAATCGCGGCAAGCACACGTATAACGGGTGTACGGATGCGGGTAACAATTTCAATGGGCCAGAGCATAGGAACAGCCGGCGATTGTTTTACGTGTTCGCGGGCGAATCAGCTTTTCAGCTAGGCTCCTTTTCTTCGCGAGATGTTATTTGCTCAATAAAGATAATTATGCATGCTTATTTTATTTGCCTCCTGGTACGCGAAGGGAGGGAAATATCGCGTGGAACACGTTCGTATCAAATACGTCTGGTCTGTATGACGTCGACTGTAATTAATGCGAAAGAGAGGCGGACGAAAGGGTAAAGAAAAAAAAAAAAGCATCATGAAAAGCATATAAAATTGAGAGTCCGCGGATTAACCTCTCACTGCATCTGCAATCTGCATCTAGATGTAGAATCAACTCGCAGACGCGACGTTGCCAGTTAACGGAAAAGAAGTTAGAGCCACGTTGCTCTCGGTGTGGACGCATTGTTGAAAGTAAATCTTTTATGGGGGGAAAGACTGCAACGTTTTTGAGGTTATGTGGGAATATTTAAAGCTTTTAAAGGTTAGACTGGTTTAATCGTGAATCGAAGAATAAGTAGGCAATATAGGCAAAGAGTATATACGACTAGATACGTTTTCTTTATTATAAACTTTATTTCCGACTTTTCCAGTAGAACTATGGAAGCATAACCTATAAATAAGTGATAGAAAGAGACATTGTCTGAAATTTGTTTGTAAATACTTTATTATACAATTACAGGAAATATGGATTATAACCTAAATATGTATATCACACTAGGAAATTCAAAGGTCAGCTGGGTTTACTTCTAATGCTTACTATCATAGAAGAATGTATTACATTGGAGATTATCTGGGAATATTATTTACATTTTTTAACTCTAAAGTAGCATTAATCACGAATCAAAGAATATGTAGAAGATAGTATAGTAGGTATAAAGATAAGCGTAGAATCACGCATAACCTGACATGTACTTTCTATTTTATGCAGAATATGTCTTACTTTGCCAACGAAGCTATAGGACCATAACCTATAAATAGGAAATAAAAACAAACGTTGCCTGAAATTTATTTACAAACACTTAATTGTATAAGTATAACCTAAATATGCGTATAGTACTAGAAAATTCAAAAGTCAGCTAGATTTACTTTCTTTACGTTAACATGATGTTTCTCGCCTGATGATTACTATCATAAAAGAATATATTACATTAGAGATTATCTAGGAATATTATTTACATTTTTTAAAACCGAGGTAAGATTAATCATGAATCAAAGAATATGAAGATAGTATAATAGGTATAAAGATAAGCGCAGAATAACAAATAACCTAACATGCATTTTCTATTTTATGCAGAATATTTCTTACTTTGCTAAGAAACTATAGAAGCATAACCTATAAATAGGAAATAAAAACAGACATTGCCTAAAATTTGTTTTTAAACACTTAATTATATAATTATAGCCTAAATACGTGTATAGTACTAGAAAATTCAAAAGTCAGTCAGGTTTACTTTGTTTATGTTAACATAATGTTCCTCTTGTGAATTATTTAGAAATATTACTTACATTTTTTAAAACTCAGATAGGATTAATCACGAATCAAAGAATATGTAGATAGCATAGTGTGTATGAAGAAAAGCGCAGAGTAACACATAACCTAACATGTATTTTCTATTTTGCCAGCAAAGCTATAGGAGCATAACCTATAAATAGGAAATAAAAACAGACGTTGCCTAAAATTTATTTACAAACACTTTGTTACAAAGTTATAAACAAATATCGAGTATAACTGAAATATGTATACGGTCTTAGAAAATTTAAAAGGTCAATCGTGTTTACTTTAATCACATTTACATAATCACTATTAAAGTCGCTACGTCCCACGGTTAATACAAATTGGCACTGATGCAACGCAGAATTTATTACATTCTGTATTTCTTAAGAATTTTGCAGCATTTCAGCAACCGAGTTATTAATTTGTTGCATTAATTCTTCGTGTGTAGTCGCTTCTGTGCTATTCACGTTTTGTTCCAGAGCTCCCCATAAGTAGAAATCAAGTGGTATGAGGTCTGGCGATCTCGGAAAGTAAACACAATCGACCTTCCGTATTCTCTAACACAGAATCCGTCGCTACACACGTATTCTCCCCGCATGCAATATTCGCCTGCACTTCGCAACAAAGCGTTTACAAACACGCTTCGTATATCGCTTCTTTCTTATTTTCATTCGTAGATTACATTGCAGTAATTTCGTCGGTAAAATAGGAAACAACTCATAAATATAAATAACAAAGTTCAACAGTCGCTGGACTGAAACAGGCACACGAATTAATAACCGAAAATGATTAAATTATACGTATTGAATTTACTCGATGTCAACATCTCGTTTGCCCGTCGCGACGTCTGGATTCATAGACGTTGAACCAGCGAGTAACATCAAAGACTCTATCGATAATCGATTCGTTGGATAACTTGTATTATAGAGGTCCTAATGCCAACAACGATCGAAGTGTGTACCGTGGTAATCGATAATTAACCATCAACATCTCGCAACCCGGGTATTATTCAATCGAACGATAGGTCTTAATGAACTACGTAGGTAACCTCTTCGTGCAACGTCGGCGTGATCGTCACGGCGAGACGTAATTAATTGATAATCACGGTACCGATTATTTTTTCGCCGTTGGCCGCTCTTAATTAGATAATTAATCACCGGTACGGGGCATAAGGGGCAACCGTCAAAGCGTTTAAGCGTACAAGCATCTTGCCCTTGCCCACTTTCACCGTCTCCTTCCTATAGTTTAACCGTCTGATGGCGCTGCTCTCAAGGACAATTAAATTTCGATCTATCTAATGGTGGCGTGGGCATCGCGGCCGGGCAATTAAATTTCTATCCGTATCGATACGTGGAAAGGTGTACGAGCGTGCGGCGTGCGACGATACTTTATGCATACAGAACGGGAAAAGGAGACGGTGTCAGGGTATTTCGCGAGCCTCCGACGACGGAGGTAGCACACTGATACGAACAACACACGGTGATAGCGTGATCATTTGCATTTTAATACCGGCCCGACGATAGCGACTGTATCTCGCAGGCTCCACCTCCGGTCTGTCAGTCCGGTTATAACGAGCCGATCGACGTGCATACATGACCACCGTTAAATATTTAAACGAGATCGAACGTGGTAAACTACCGTGGCTACCTCCTACATAGAGAGACTCAAGCATGATCGATGCGCTTCCTCTTGCTACCAATTAAACAGCTTCGACCAAATTCCATGTTTTGCTCGGATGCTTGCTGGCAACGTTGTCTCTTAAGTTAGGTTATATAGTACTCGAGAAATATATTTAAAACACTATAGCTTTTTTAGATAATTTAGGTGATCAATTATTATTTTTAAATTGGGACGATGTTTTTTGTTATGTGTATGTGAATTTTATTTGCGTCATGATATTTATATAAGTATCAAGTATATATTATTAAGTATATATGAATCTTAGTTGAGTCAGGTTGGATTGGAAAAGAAAAGGGTAGGGTGCTAAGTTTGGGGTAGAGGGGACAGGTTCCAGTCGTGATGAAATTTTGGAAAATTTTATCGTGTATTAAATATACAGTATCGTTCTAGGAGTACGTATACAGGGTGGTCCAATAATTTCAGCTATTTTTAATATCTCCGTTGTTTTTCCAGATTTAGAAGTTTATGTGCAACAGTTGTGTAATATGGAGGAGGAAGTCTGCAGTGTGGAAGTTATAATTTTTTTACAACCAGGGGATCTGGAAATATACTATTTTAATAGTAGGCTATAATTTTCTTTTATTATGGTATAGTAGTGGGTGTTTAGATGATTTCAACGACCCTCAATAAATCCATTCGATAACAGATAGGAGGAACATCATAGGGAGGTGTAATATACATAGTATATGTACATGTAATTATTGTATTTATAGGTGTTTGCTATATCTAATGCATAAAAATGATAGCTTCCTAAAAATAGAAATAATACGACATCGAGTTTTGCAATATAGATAATTGGGTCAGGCACGATGAGTCATTTCGAAATTTTAAAAGTTTCCATTACGTATTAACTATACAAAACTATTATTATTATCTTGACAATAGGTATGCGAATTATAAATAAATAATATTTATCATTATTTATTCTGTTTAATATCTGATAAATTTACAAGATTTCTCACGGGGTAAATATTGCAAATTTATTTTTTATAACTGTTGCACGTGAAATTATATTTTCTATGCAAACATAATCCTTGGTTTTTGAAACCGACTGTCATGCCGTTTTTATTTTTGTTTTCCCCCAGCCTGTATCGTCACATTTTTCTGAAATGTCGTCATACATACTTCTAATCCAGTAATATTTCAATTCTTTTACGTAGATACTAAAATTTCCGCCATTTTCTTTTTTAAATTTTGTATCATAATGACACAAACATGATACTAAATACAAAAACAATTCAAGCAATTAT